GCAGGCAGCCCCGAGCACGCTGGGTGCTTGCTTCGGGTGGGGTCTGGGAGCGCCCGCTGGCGTAGGGAGGGCTGGGTGGAGGGAGGAGGCCGAAGGCACCGCCCAGGTGGGCTCTCCAGGCGTGGCTCCTCCTCTCACAGCGACCCCGCGGGCCTGGCACACCTCCACTGACCCCGCAGGGGCACTCCCTCCGCCACCAGTGGGGAGCAGGCTGCCCCTGGGGGAGGGGGACTGGTCATGCCAGCTCTTCCTCCTCCCTCTCCTCCAGCCAGGTCCAGGGAACATGCAGAGAGGGAGGGGGGCAGGGGGAGGGGCCTGGCCCAGGCCTCTTGCTGACCCCACACCCTGATGCCTCCCTTCCCTTGGCTCCCTCAGATCCTGGCTGAGACTCAGCACTGGAACCCCCTCCTCCGGGAAGCCCTCCTGGGCTTCCTTCCCAGGTGCCCCCTTCCCTGTGCACACTCTGTCTGCCCTGGCGCTACTGTCACTGTCAGCGTGTGTCTGCGGGGCTGGCAGCTAATTACACCTCTAACCCCAGCGCCTGCTGGTGCCTTCTTAGTAACAAGGAACCAAATTCCAAAAGCAAGAAGAGATTCCTGCCTGGGGCTCTGTCCAGATACCCTCTTGACTTCCCTAATCCACTGATTCTGTCTCCACTTGCACCCAGCCCAGCCCTCTAGGACTCTGCCCGGGGGCAGAGGTGGCTTGAGCTGTGAGCGCACCTGCGGAGGGCCGGACCACCAGCTCAGCTCAGGGACCTCTGAGTCACCATCCTGAAGTTCTCAGCAGGTCCCAGGGAAGGAAAGAGGGAGGGAGGGAGGCGTGTGGACGAGAGCTCACGGGGCACAGACACAGGCCTGGCCTTAGGCCTCCCCCACTGTGCCGGGCAGACGCCTGTATCGGCTCTGGGGCTCGGGGGCCCGGCAGATGTGCCAGGCAGTAAGCATGGGTGGGGGGCACCCGGCAGCTGAGGGGGCAGTGGGGTGGGCCTTCCAGAGCCTGCCCGGGCGCACAGGAGGGCTGGCCCCTGTGTGCACATGCATGTGAGCTGGCGCCTGTGTGTGAGCGCGTATGTGCCCATGCCCGGGCTGGGGTCAGGGCGGCGGGGCGGGGCTCAGGCCTCAGCCCTGGCTGCAGGAAGGCCCCGTGGAGAGTCCAGCATTAAGGGGGGCTCCTGGGGCTGTGTCCGAGGGCGAAACCAGCGTTCAGGGGGCCTGAGCAGTCCGTGAGCCCAGGAAGGGAGGCCCTGAGAGAGGGGCGGTTTCAGCCTGGCCGCCCCCACTGAGCAGGGCTGCCGAGGGGGAGGCAGCTGGTGGAGTTTCCGACAGAGGGAACAGCATTCCCAAGGCTCGGGGGCAGGAGAGAGCAGGTGCGTGCTGGGACCGAAAGCAGGACGAGTGGGGAGCGTGGTGAGGGGGTCACTGAGCAGCCTGCAGCCCCCCGGAAGGCCGTGCCACTGGGCGGGAGGGAAGCAGGCAGGAGGGCTGAGCCCCCCAGGACACCCCACACCATCAGGGGCCCCTGGCCTGGGGCGGCCGCTCTTCCTTATCAAGGGAAGTAGCTTTTGACCTAGAAACATCCTGCAGGGACCTGCCTGTTAATGATTAAGGGGCGGGCCTGGGCTGAGCCGGGCGCTCCGGGCCCCTCTCGGAAAGAGAAAGGTCAGCGCGGGACGTCCGCGGCCACAGGCTGTGCACTGGCACCGGGTCCACAGGTCCCCGCGGAGCCAGCCCGAGCGCGCCCCGGCCAGCGGGAGACGAGGGAACACCAAGGGCAGGGCAGAGCGCCCCGGTTCTATTGAGAAAAGCAGGTCAAAGAAAAGTGGGGGCTATGGGACCCCCATCTGCAAGCGACACCCGTGGGCACGTGGGTTCCAGCTGCGGCGGCGCCCGTGGGGGAAGGGAGACCCCACGTCTGGGAAGCCGCAGGGCACGAGGCCCCCCTGGCTTCGCCGCCCACCCCGGGGCTGCCCTGCGAGGTGACGCGCCCGCAGCGTGATGGGCGAGGTCGGAGCGCGGAGCACACAGCGGCCTGCTCGCTGCTTCTGCTCATTCCAGAGCATCGTCACGGCCCCAAGGGAGCCCCCCCAGCCCTGGCGGCCCGAGGTGACCTCTGTCTCTGCAGATGGCCCTCGCCCATCCCCCGGCCCGCCCCGCCCCGGGTGCCCCAGCCAGCCTCGGCCCTCTGCCTCCCCCTCCTAGCTGGCCTCCCGCCTCTGTTGGGGCCCTGGGCCCGGAGGGGCAGCTCAGCCTCGGCAGCGGCCCCGCAGATCCTCATGCACAAACGCCCCCAGCGCCCAGTGGACAGTGGGGGCCGAGCACACGGGAACCCCGGCCAGTCGGGGTCAAGGTCGCGCACGGCGCTGGCCGCGTGTCAGCGGAGGGAGCCGAGGGAGCAGCCTCTGTCGAGGTCACCGCAGCCCAGGTGCCGGGAGGATCCGCTGAGACCCCAAGGTCAGGCCCGGGTCTCGCGGCTCGGGCCCGGGCGGCAGGCACGCAGCGGCGTCCGGCTCCAGGTCCCAGGCCGGGTCCCCCTCGGCGGGCTGCTGTCCTCGCACGTGGGCAAGCAGCCCCCCGAGTCCTCTCCCGGGGCACCGTTCCCATCTTGGGGACCCCTCAGGCCTCAGCTAACCCTAACCACTCTCAGCGCCCCCTCCTGGCACAGTGAGGCTGGTTCAGTGGGCAACCCTCCCCCCCACAAGGCCGGCCGGCACCCCTGGGGTCCCGTGGACTGCAAGTGTGTCTCTGCAGGTGCAGCCAGTGGAGGGTCTGGACGAGACATCAGCCTGGAGTGGGAGCGCCCTAAATCCAGCATGTGAGCTTAAGAGTTGCAGGGAGGAGACACCGGGCGAAGCGGGAGGCCTCGTGGGGACTGGGCGGGGGCGGCACTGCCAGTCGAGGGCGCAGGGCTGGAATGGGCCATGCATGGGACCCTCCCCGGGGCCCTGTGGGGAGCTGGCCCTGCCGCGGCCTTGAACTCCGCCCTCCGCTCTCGAGAACTGAGGAGGGCACAGCCCGTGGTCTGAATCCCTGGGCCCAGCGCAGGGGCGGCAGCGCTGCTGGAGTCATGCCCGCCGGCATAGAGCTGGGTGCTGCGACCCTCCCACGGTGCACCCCGTGAGCCAGGTGAGCACCAGGGCAGGAAGCGGGGGGTATTCGAGGCTCGAGGCCAGCGCAGACGTGGGCTGGGGGGCTGCGGCGGAGTGTGCCGTCAGCAGGGGCGAGGGGCTGGTCCTGCCAAGGGCGGAGGCCACCACTGTATTTAAACTGCCCTGTGGACTCCTCATCACTTGCTCTCCTTCCTTCTAGAACAGTCTCCCCATGGCAGATTCCTCTTCAGGCGCCCAGCCCCTGCACAAACACACTGGGGGAGTTATCTGCTGAGGGACAGGGCACCCCGACTCAGCAGCCAAGACGCTGCCAGGCCCGTGGGTGAGGAATTCGGGAGCAGCTCGGACTTGCTGCGACACGCTGTCAGATGCCAGCCCGGCTCCGGGCACCTGGAGGTGGAGGGCCGAGGATCCTGGCCGCGCCGCCTCACGTGGCTTCTACTGGAGGGCCACGTCCTAAATGTAAAACCCTAACACTCAGGACGACCAGAAGAAAACAAAACCACCTTTGTGACCTCTGGCTGGGCAAGATTTCTGAGCCTCACCACACACGGCCGCTGGGGAAGGCACGGTGAGTCGGAGCTCATCAGACGCGGAGCCCCTGCTCTGCCCAGGCTGTGACAGAGAGAGACGAGGCGGCCTAGGGCTGAGTGTCAGCGCTGCCGCCGCTGGGCCTGGGAGCCTCCGCCAGGGGGCTACCCACACGGTGCAGCAGACCCCTCCTGTCTCCCCGCTGCCCCCTCAGCAGTGTGTTTCAGTGGACCCGCCTGTTCTGCTCCCCACTGTCTCTGGGGAGTCCTCTCACCCCCGCACCCCTGGCCTGCACCCCCGCTCTCGTATGCATAAATAAAAGTAAATCTTTAAAAAGGAGAGACGACAAGCCAGTTCGGGAGAAAGTCCAGGCAAGTCTCAAATTTGATAACACGCTGGTGCCAGGAGATGCCCGGGGCCCTGGGTGCAACAGGGAGTCAGCACAGGACAGCGGCAGGCTGGGCAGACCCTGCCCGGGACACGGCGGACGGCGCGAGGCGGGTCCCCCTCCGCGGCGCGTGGGTGCCGGGAACGCCACCCAGAGACAGCAGGCCCCCCGCAGCAGAGCCAGAGGGCCGCGCCGCGGGAGCCCCCAGCCCGCCCTGCCCGGCCAGCCATTCGGTGCTGCAGGGGCCTGAGACCACGCTGGCCCCTGGCCGCGGCCCTCCCGAGGGGCCCGGAGACGCGCCCGCCCGCACAGCTCCCCAGCAGAGCCCGCGCGGCGAGCAGGGCACAGGCGAGGCCGGAGAGGGCGCAGGAGGGGCCGCGGTGGCCCAGCGCCCCGGGGAGGGCCCGGCCGGCTCCTCGCGCGCGGTCCCCGGGGGAACCTGTGACTCCTGCCGGGGCGCCGAGAGGAGTTTTCGGGCGCAGCGCCCCGGTTCAGAGAGCCGCAGGCAGCCGGGGGCCTGGGGCACCCCGCGCCGCGGACCCCACACCCCCGCCTCCCGGCCCCCAGACCCCGCCCCGGGCCCCCGGCTCCCGGCCGGCCGCGGCGGCGCCGGGGCGCACGGAGGCTCGGGCCCGGCGGGGCCGCGGGCGCGCGGGGCGGGGCCTGGGCGCCCTCCCCGTCCCCGTCCCCGTCCCCGTCCGGGCCGCCCCGGCCCTCCGCGCCCCCGCCCCCTCCCCCGCGGGCCCCCGCCCCAGCGCCTCCCCCGCCCCCCGGCGCCCCCGCCCTCCGAGCGCCCCCCGCCCCGCGCCCCGCCCGCGCCCGCCCTCCGCCCCCCGCGCCCGCGTCCCCGCGCCGCGCGGCCGGAGCTGCGCGCCCTCGCCGGTGCCGGTGCGCGCGGGCGGCGGCCCGGCGGGGAGCGAGCGGCGGCCGTTCCGGGCCGGCCCGCGGGCTGAGCCGAGCGAGCCGGGCACCATGCGGCGGCTGCGGCGCCTGGCGCACCTGGCGCTCCTCTGCCCCTTCTCCAAGGGGCTGCAGGTAGGGCCGGGCCCCTCCTGGGCCGCGCGGCGGCGGGGCGGGGCGGGGCGGGGGCGCGCGGCGGCCGGGGGCGCGAGCGCGGGGCGGGGCGGGGCCGGCCGGGGGAGGGGGGGCCCGGCGGCCGGGCGCGGGGGCTCGGGCGCGGCCCGGCGGGCAGCGTGCGGGGCGGGCGGCCGAGCCGAGCGGGGCGGGTTCCCGGCCCCAGAAGGCCCCCGCCGCCCAGGAGCCGACCCTGCCGCCGCCCAGAGGCCGCCCGAGGGGAACCGCCTCACCCCCAGCTGGGCTCTCCTGTCAGAGGCTCCCGTCACCCTCCAGGGAGGGGTGTGCCCGCCCCGTGACCTTGGACAAGTCACCCTGCACCAGGCCCGCCCGCAGGGGAGGCGCGGGCACCGGGGGCTGTCGGGAGCCTGGTCACCCCGTGGGGCGGGCGACCACCGCCCCACCACCGCCGCGCATCCCAGGGGGATCAGAGGCGCCCGCCCAGCCTCTGCGGCCGCCCGGGGCCAGGACAGGCCAGGCCGGCAGGGCTGGGGCCTTCACCTGGGCCCGGCTGGCCTCAGCTCCGGGGGGGACAGGGGCGGCGCGTCTCCCTGCCGCCCGGCCTGCGGCCCAGCCCTGGCCAGGGGAGCTGAGGGTGCAGGGCCCCTGCGCCCGGCAGTGGCGGGTAAGGGTGTCGGCCTCGCCCTGGCACTGGTCCCCAGGTGGCCCTGGCACCTGGAGCCTGGGGGGGTGGGGGGACCCCGCCTGAGGGAGGGGGCGGGACCTGGGGTCCGTGCAGGGTGGGGAGCGGGTCAGGCGCTGCTCCTGGGGAGAGAGCCGCTGCAGTCAGCCAGCCCGGGCTGAGGGCCCCGGGGCCTGGAGGGGTCTGGCTGGAGGATGGGTGGTGTGTGGGGGGCCCCACAGGCGGTCTCTCCTGTGGTCGCTGTGAAGCGGGGTCCCCTCCCCCGGCACCAGCCCTCAGGGCCCCGTGGAGGCTGAAAGCCCACCCAGAGGCCTGGTCACCGCGGCCCGGGGTGTTCTAGCAGCGGAGTCTCCCGACCTTGTCCTGCAGAGCAACACCCCGGACTGGGGAGCGCAAGCGCGCGCACCCCCCCCCCCCGCGTCTCTGCTTTCCTGTTTTTCCCTCTGAACAAATCTGCCGGAAACAGACGTAGCGCCGGGGACGAGCAGGCCGGGCCCAGCCCGCACGCTACGCAGCGGCCGTCTCTGCAGCCAGGAGCCCCCGCCGCCCCCCACCCTAGCCCTGGGGACGTCCCACTGCGGGAGGCCAGCCGCGTGCTTGGCTCCAGGCGGCAGGGGTCCTGGTGGGAGCCAAGGCCGACCCCAGCCCCGTGACCCAGGCTAGCCCGCGCGGGAAGCACAGCCCCGGCCCCCGTGTGGGGCGCGTGGCCAAGGCGGCTCGGTGGTCCACACTGGCAGTGGCCGTCCCGCTGGGGGCAGGCTGGCCACGAAGCCCCGGCTCCTGCCCTCGTGGGCCCAGGGCCCGCCCCCGCAGCTCAGACACACCCGCCAGACCCGCTCCTCGCTGAAGCCCGGGTTCTGCTCACGCGCCGCCGCTCCAGAAAGTGCAGGCCAACCGGGTAACCCTGTCCCTCCGGCCGGCCCCCTGGACAGCCCCAAGACCTGGGGTGCGCCAGAGCAGGGCGGGAGGGGAGCTGGCACCCACGTGCGCCCAGGAGCTCCCGCTGTGATGCCACGGGCACCGGGCACCCTGGCAGAGGGACGGGGCTGTGGCCGCCATGACCCACCCCACCTCCGCGGGCCGCGGGCGTCAGGGCCCGAGGTCTTATTTCTTCTTTCCCGTGACAAGTGACACGTCACGTCACATCACGTGTCCCCTGCCAGGTCCCGGCACAGCGGGGGGCACAAGCACTTGGGGCCACTCAGCCTCCCCGGCCTCGCCCGAGGCCCCTCCTGTCAGACACTCAGCCCCCCGGCTCCCCTCTGCCTGGCCCCCAGTCCCGAGGGCGGAGGTGTGTCCTGGGCCAGGCTGGCTGTCCCGGGGTCCCCGCGGGCTCCAGGGCGCCGGACCTTGCCTGCCCCGAGCCCTGCCCCCCCGGACTTGGTGCCGCCGGGGGCCGCGGTTTGTGGCGCTGACGGTCCCCGGTGACGGCGCGAGGTGAGCCGGGCTCAGGCGGGAGGGAGGCTGCAAGAGCAGATGTCACCCAGCACAATATGCCTGCCCCCCCTTTGAATGGCCTTTAACTGCGCGTGTGAGCGAGCCTGGGGGCCGCTGGGGGGGCCGGGTCTCAGGGCGGCCCTCCTCTCGCGCCCCTCCCGCAGGGCCGGCTGCCGGGGCTCAGGGTCAAGTACGTCGTCCTGGCCTGGCTGGGCGTCTTCGCGGGCGGCTGGCTGGCCTACGTGCACTACGCGTCCTACGCGGGGCTCTGCCGCGGGCACGTCTGCCGCGTGCTCATCGTGAGTGCGGGGGCTGCGGGGGGCGCCTGCGGGCTGCGGGCCAGCCGGCAGCACTGGGGCCCGGGGCCCTGAGGGAGCCGTGCCCGAAGACGGGGGTCCCTGGGTGCGGGGCAGCCCCGGCAGGGCCGCCAGCCCGTCTCCTCCTCCGCAGTGCGACCAGTACCACAAGGGCATCATCTCGGGCCCCCTGTGCCAGGACCTGTGCAGCCTGCACCGGGTGGAGTGGAGGACCTGCCTCTCCTCGGACCCAGGCCAGCAGGTAAGCCGGAGGGCGGGTGGCCGGCCCCCTCCCTGCCTGGGGCCCGGGGGTGTGCACGCAGCGTCCCGTGGCCCTGTCCAGGTGTACAGCGGGCTCTGGCAGGGCAAGGAGGTGACCATCAAGTGCGGCATCGAGGAGAGCCTGCAGGCCAGGGCCGGGCCGGACGCGGCCCCCCGGCGGGAGCTGGTGCTGTTTGACAAGCCCACCCGGGGCACCTCCATCAAGGAGTTCCGGGAGATGACACTCAGCTTCCTCAAGGTCAGCCCCGTGGCGGGCGCCCTGCACAGGCGCGGGCGGGAGGCGCCGCTCCAGGGTGGGCGGCCCAGGGTCCCAGCGGACCCTGCCAGGGAGGCCCCCCGGGCACGGAGGCCCTGGTGCCTGGGGGCAGCGTGCAGCGGAGCAAGCTGGGTGGGGCAAGGGCTACCAAGCCCGGGGGCAGCAGGTGGCCGGTCAGGGCGCGCTTCCAGGGGGCGTCCCCCTTCCGGGTGGGCCGCGCCGGGCGGGGGTGTCCGGGGTCTCGCGCTCAGGCTGCCCGCCAGCCCCGCAGCGCCCGGCCGCGTCCAGGTGGGCTCCCGCGCCGCTGACCTCGGTTTCCCTCTTGGGTCCCAAACGCCAGGCGAACCTGGGGGACCTGCCCTCGCTGCCCGCGCTGGTGGGCCAGGTGCTGCTCCTGGCGGACTTCAACAAGGACAGCCGGCTGTCGCTGGCCGAGGCCAAGTCGGTGTGGGCGCTGCTGCAGCGCAACGAGTTCCTGCTGCTGCTGTCGCTGCGGGAGGGCCACGCCGCCCGGCTGCTGGGCTACTGCGGGGACCTGTACGTCACGGAGGGCGCCCCGCTCGGCGCCTGGCCCGCGGCCGCGCTCCCGCCCCTGCTGCGCCCGCTGCTGCCGCCCGCCCTGGCCCGGGTGCTGGCGCGCTGGCTGGGGCCCGCGTGGCCCTGGCGCGCCAAGATCGCCATCGGGCTGCTGGAGTTCGTGGAGGAGCTCTTCCACGGCGCCCACGGGACCTTCTACATGTGCGAGACCACGCTGGCCAACGTGGGCCACACGGCGCGCTACGACTTCAGGATGGCCGACCTGCAGCAGGTGGTGCCCGCGGCCGCCGTGCGCCGCTTCCTGCGGGGCCGCCGCTGCGAGGGCCCCGCTGACTGCACCTACGGCCGCGACTGCCGCGCGCCCTGCGACCAGCTGCTGCGGCAGTGCAAGGGCGAGCTGCTGCGGCCCAACCTGGCCAAGGTGTGCGAGTTGCTGCGCGACTACCTGCTGCCCGGCGCGCCCGCCGACCTGCGGGAGGAGCTGGGCCGGCAGCTGCGCACCTGCAGCACCCTGAGCGGGCTGGCCAGCCAGGTGGAGGCGCACCACTCGCTGGTGCTGAGCCACCTCAAGACGCTGCTCTGGAAGCGGATCTCCAGCACCAAGTATTCCTGAGGCCGGTCTGGCCCGGGGCTGTCCCAGAACCGCCCTGGGGGCCAGGGCTGCAGGGACCAGCAGGATGAGGCCCAGAGCCCCGCCCTGGTCCGTGGAACTGGTGTAAATAGCGCGTGGGCGAGGGCTCCGCCCCAGCAGGGCTGCGTGGGCCTCCTGCAGCAGCCCTCAGGGCTCGGGCGGAGGCGGGGTCTTCCCTGGGCTGGGGGAGCTTGGGCCCCCGAAGCAGGTGCGCTTGGGTTCCTAGGTCAGGGCAGCTTCCAGAGCCGGGGGCGGAGGGAGGGCAGGGCGACACCCTGCTGTAAGCAGCGCCTCCCCAGCATTAAAGCTTCCCACCCAGCTGGCACCCAGCAGCCTGTCCAGGGACAGTTTTTAACACCGGGTCGTGATGAAACGCCCGAGGCAAGCGGCCTGGTGCTCCTGCTCCCCACTTTCAGCAGCCCAAGGAAAAGACGAGACGTGGCTCACCCAAGACCCCTTTATTCAAGTTTTGCCAACACAGAAGCGCCAGCCTTGAAACTTCTTCCCACAAACCCCTCAGCACGTCCTTATACCCCACCTCCGCACAGCCCCCCCACCCGCCGGGGGTCCAATCAGCCAGCCACCCACCAGGGCCAGGGGAGAGCATCAGCCAGCCCACTCCACGTGCCCACCCTGGGAGTTCCCAGGCCAGGGCGCAGGTCTCCTCGTCCCCACTGCGGGGCGCCTTCCGAGCCCCTTCTTCAGGAGCGCCCTGGCAGACAGCTTTGCTCCCCAGGGACTGTGTGCTCTGGCGGGGGGTCCCCACAGGCGGGCAGCCACCCAGCCCCATGACGCCGGTGCAGCTGCTCCCAGGAAGAGGCTGGTGGCCTCCGGACGCGGTGCAGCAGGGTCTCTGGAATGCAAAGACAGGGCCGGTCGAGGCAGCCTCAGCACCCCCCACATCCTGCTCAACAACCCCTTTCCTGGTGGAATTCACCCCAAAACCACTCAGCCAGCCTCACAACCCCCATCCATCTTTTGCCCAGCCCAGCTCGCCCGGAGCACCCAGGGCCTTCGCTGAGCCGGAGCCTGGCTCCTAGCTGGCTGTCATCCAGCCCCCTGCCACCCTGCAGGTGAGCCACGGGCAGCTCGGCCTGGAAGGGGCCCGAGAGCTGGGACCTGGGGGCTGCCACCCTCCTATAAGGGAGTCAGCACCTTGCCCTGCTCCCCACGCCAAGTTCATGAGGCCATGAATTTGGTGGTTAATACACCCAGGGCACGGGCAACTGTAACTGGAACCGTACCCCCACCCCTACCAAATCACCCACCTCCCAAATCCCCTGGCTTTGCGAGTGGCCTACCCAGGCTTCCCTCCGCACCCACCCCTCACTGTCACCTTTCATCCCAACCCTGGGCGGAGTCTGCACCTGGAAGAAGCACACACTGAGGCAACTACACATACCCCACAATCCTTTTAAGGGCAGCAGGGTGGTAAGCACAGCCTCCCCAAAGGTCTGGGGGCCCCGGCAACCCTCCAGCTCCTGCGGGCAGTGACCTCAACTCCCAGGCTCACCTTCCTTTCCTGGGAGGTGGAAACAGCCCAGGCTGGTGTCCCACCCATGCCCAGGGCAGGGGCCTTGCGTGGGGGGACGGCCCATGCCCCTCCTGGACCCCAGGGCTGAGGATGACAGCGGAAGGGACACTGACCCAAACTTCAGAGACCACTGGAGCCTCCAAACTGTATTCAAGATGGGTTTTTTCTGGCCCCAGAGCAGGGCTGTCAAGTCTCAGTGCCAGACTCTAGTTCCACGAGTTGTGGGGCCACCTGTGCGGCAGCACCCCATTCCTGCCCCTCTCACCCAGCCATTGCCCTGGGAGCAGCGCTACAGCGCTGGGCAGCCTGCCGAGGTTCCAGGCATCTCCTGCAACCCTCCCCCGGTGTGCACAGCTGGTCTGACTGAGGCGGAGGCCCAGCCTGCTGCACGGAGCCAGAGCAGTGTCAGGCCACGGGCCATTCCCAGCGCCCACTGTTCTAAGCACTGAGTGTAGAAAGAGCCACTTTCTCTTTGCCCCGTTGTGCAGGCACAGCAGAGCCACTGGGTCTGGGTGCCCCAGGTCCCACATCACAGGGCACAGCCCCACCCACCCGGTCTTTGCCTTCTCCCTGGGGGTGGCCATGCAGGCAGATGCCTGGGTGAGCTGCAGCCAACCTGTGGGCTGTGGCAGAGGGAGCAGGTCTGCAGGGCTGGAGAGTGGCCACAGGGCACCTGTCCACAGCTCTTGAGACCCCAGAGGGAGCGCCCAGAGGAGACTCGAGGACTCGGAAGGCCTCCACCAGCACCAGGCAGCTCCTGCCCTCCCTGAGCTCACAAGGCAGAGATTAAGGCGCAGAAAGAAATGCTCTGGGGCTAAAACCAACCCGGCAAGCGGCCTGTGAGCCGGCCGAACCGCAGGCCAGTTTCTGCCGCCAGCTCGTAGTGTGTCCCGATGAGGAGCGGGAAGCCGGCCTCTCCAGCCACGGATGCTTTGCAGCGTTTTCATCCCTCAAACCACCGGACTTACGTCGGGCTGTTGGACGATGTCCCCCAACACACACCTGTCGGGCAGGCGCACCCCTTGCCGATCGCGCGACGCCGGCTCACCCTCCGGTTCCGCGGGCAGCAGCTTCCACCTGCCGAGTCCAGGGCGACCTCGCCGGGAGGCCGGGCGGCACCTAGGAGACCCGGGGGCGTCAGGGCTGCCCGGGGCCAGCGGCCGCGCGGGCACCCTTGAGTGTCCGGCTACCAATCACCGGGCGGCCCACCCCGGGCGCCGGGCGCCGACCAGCCCGCGGCTGTCCGCGCCTGACGACGCACGCGCCGCACGGCAGCCCCGCCTGCAAGGCCTCCAGGGGCCGCGCGCCCGGCCCCCGCCCCGGCCCCCGCCCCGGCCCCCGCCCCGGCCCCCGCCCCGGCCCTCCGCCCCGGCCCAGGCCCCCGCCCGGCCCTCCGCCCCGGCCCCGGCCCCCGCCCCGGCCCCCGCCCCGGCCCCCGCCCCGGCCCTCCGCCCCGGCCCCGCCCCCGCCCCGGCCCCCGCCCCGGCCCCCGCCCCGGCCCCCGGCCCTCCGCCCCGGCCCCCGCCCCGGCCCCCGCCCCGGCCCCCGCCCCGGCCCCCGCCCCGGCCCTCCGCCCCGGCCCCCGCCCCGGCCCCCGCCCCGGCCCCCGCCCCGGCCCCCGCCCCGCCCCGGCCCCGGCCCTCCGCCCCGGCCCTCCGCCCCGGCCCCCGCCCCGGCCCCGGCCCCGGCCCCCGCCCAGCCGGCCGCTCCCGGAGCCGCAGACCCCGCACCTCGCGGGCCCCGCGCCCCCGCCGCTGCCCACGGGGGACGGTCACCCGCCCGGCGGGAGCCGGCGCCGGCAGCCGCCCCTCCGCCGCGCCAGCCCGGGCGCGGCCGGGGCGGCGCCCGGACACCCGGGAGGCCGCGGCCCCTCGGCCGCCATCGCCGCCGGGAAGGACGCGCGTGCGCGCGAGGCGCCCTTTATAGCGCGTACGGCGGCCCGCGAGGGCCACGCCCGCCGCCCGCCCGCCCGCCGCAGCGCCCTCTAGCGGAGCCTCCCCGCCCCGCCCGCGCCCCCATCTCTGCCCGTGCGTCCCCTCCGCCGGTGAGGTGGCTGAGGACTTGGGGCGCGAGGCTCTTCCCAACTGCAGACGCCAGGGGACCTGGGGACCAGGGGGCGCCCACAGGGCCACCCCCATGCACACGTGGCACACCAACCATGCGACCCCAGCAACCCCCCAGGGCTGGTCCCGAGGGCCCCTGGTCCCTGCCACCTGCTCTGGGACCCCCACCTCTGCCAGGGCCGTGGAAGAGTTCCTGCGGGCTGGCCGTGCCCCGGGGGGCAGAGAACAGAGCTGGGGGTCCCGTCTCCAGAGAGCACACCCCAAGGTCCAGCCGGGGCCCAGGGTCCTCGTCAGAAGAGGAGCCAGCTCAGAAGGGACTGGCCTCTGAACCTCAGGACCCCACTGTGGGTCACCCTCCGGCTGCACTCAGTGGGGCCGGACTTTGCTGTGCCCGGGTCCCTCCCCGGGGTGGGGTCTGCTGTCCCTGTGGCTGCAGGTGAGGACACCCCCCTGCCACCCCCGCCTCTGGGTGGAGGAGTAGGGCCTGACCAGCCACCTCGCCTGCAGGTGAAGGCCGACCCCACCACACTCCTGCCCCCCAGCTCTGGAGGGACACGGCTGTGATGATTGACAGCAGGGCTCACCTGTCCTGGGGGCGGGGGCAGGCGCACCTGTATGGGCGTTGACACCAGGAGACAAACGTGACGCTCATTTGCTATGAGCTGATGAGTTTTCTCCTGGTTGACGGTAAGGCTGGGGCTCGCGGTGTGGGGGCAGGTGCACTGTGGGTTCAGAAAACCAATAATGGGGGCCTCCCTGGTGGTGCAAGGGGTTAAGCATGGGCACTGTGAAGCTGTCCATAGCCTCTGCAGCAGCACAAGTGCGATCCCCAGGCAGGGAGGTGACCCACAGGGCACAGCAGACCTCTCCTGTCTCCCCGCTGCTCCCCTCAGCAGTGGATTTCGGTCCTTCTGCCTGTTCTGCTCCCTGCTCTGTCTCTGGTGAGTCCTCTCACCCCCACCCCCACACCTCTGGCCTGCACCCCAGCTCCTGTATGCATAAATAAATAAATCTTTAAAAAAAAAAAGAAGAATATAAACCGACAACGGAGCCGGTGCAGACCTGCCAGGCGCTGAGGCTGCAGCAGAGCCTTGAGCAGATGTGGCGCGGGGCGCCGCACCTGCAGGTGCTCGCCCGCTGCTCGGCGCAGGTGTCCGCAATCGCAGGTGCACGCCCCACGCTCACACCTCTCGGCCCCGAGCCCTGCGTGCCGTGTGCTCGCGCCTCTTGCACCGACAGGCACGGTGGGTGGGCAGTGAAAACTGGCAGGCTAGCCAGGCGGCAGGTGCGGCCATGGAGGCCGGCGGGAGAGCAGGCCAAAGCCCGAGCCCCCGCACTTCCCTCCGAGCCCCCGCGCTTGCCCGGCAGGGTGGTTTCCTGGGGCGCTTCTGGCCTTGAGGGCCGGGACTCGCCACCTGCAACAGCCTGTTGGGTTTCTGCGCCGGGGAAAGGACAAGGTCCTCGTATTTTACCCGGTGCAGGAAACGAGGCCTCCAGCCTTGCTCTGTGTGTAAGCGACGCGCGGCTGACGGCCTTCGGACCGTGCTGAGGCCCACGGCAGGCGCAGCTTCCGCTGACGAAGACCGAGTCTCGCCGTCTCCACAGCCCACGCGGGAGGGCGGGTTCCGGGGCGCCCCATGAGAGGCCGTGCAGTCTCCTTGGGCTCCAGCTCCTCTCGGGCCTTGTTTCCTCGCCCGCGAAAGGCGCCGGGTGCAGCGGCCCCCCAGCAGGCCTGGGGCAGGTGCAGGCCTCTCTCCCACCGCCGAGGGAAACAGCCAGCGAGGGCGGAGGGCTGCGCGGGCGGGTTCCCAGCGGGCACGCAAGGACAGGCACCCTCGCCTGCCCGGCTGTGGGAACGGCGCCTGGCACAGCCTGCGGGGCCCTGGGGGGCTCCTCCTGAGGCTCCGCCTCCACTCTGTCCCGGCCGGTGCTGACCGCCTGCCGCCCGCTCCGGGGCGAGTGTGGCCGCCAGGAGAGCTGGGCCGGGCCTCTCTTGGGCTCCCAGCGGCGCCCACGTCGGGACAGGACAGACGCCAGATGCAAATGCCTGGTGAGCTGGACGTCCAGGGCCTTAAACACGGGCACAGAGGCTCCGGGCTGCAGCTGGCCAGAGAGCCGGCCAGCGGGGGAGGAGGGAGGAGCTGGCGCGGGCACGTGTGTATACTTGCGTGTGTGCGTGAGTGTGCACATGCACGCGCTCTGTGCACACACACGTACACATGGGGTGGGCTTGGTCTGAGTGCACCAACGTGTGCTCAAAAGGATGGTGTGGTCAACCCTGCAGGCGGGGCTGGCCGGTGAGCTCAGGTGGCTCCGATGCTGTCCGGGGGATCATCTCAGGGACTCCAGGCTCTGCTCCTCAGCCTGGCTGCTGCTGGGGCCCCCACGAGACCAATGCACCCCCCAGAGGCCCCGCACGCTGTCCCTGTCACCCAGTCTGCAGGGCCACACACAGCACACAGAGCAGCGGCTGGTCATGGGCAACTGCCGGCCACAGCGTCTGTGAGAGCCAGTCTTGGAGAGGATTTTATTCTTTGGTGCTTGTCGGGCCTGGGAGCCACGGAGCCGTCAGCCTCGGCCCTGGAGATGCAGTTGGGAGTGGCGCCCCGAGACGTGCATGCACAGTGGGGCTGTCCCGCGCAGCTTGTCCACGGTGGGACGTGACAGCAGGCACAGGAGGTCGGAGAGAAAGGACACACACTGCAGTCTAGGGGAACTTCCTGGAGGGGGTGCCGGGGCAGGTCTTCTCTGGAAGGCAGCGGGACGTGGTCTGTTGTGGGAAAGACCCACAGAGGGGCAGACGTGTCGGTGACCTCCTGTCCTGCGGCGCCAGCTCCAGCTTCCGTGTGTCACTCAGGGCAGCTCCCGAGCTTCAGCAGAGCCTCTGTCTGCACCAAAGCTCTCACCACCTTCCGTGCCAGATCGTCACCAGCCCTAGAGCAAAACCTGGCTTCAGAGCCACTGCTGCACCTGCCTGACAGACGGCTGGAAGGCCAGCGTGGAGCTGGGGCCAACTCCAGCGTGGCTCCTGCAAGCCCCAGACTGGTGCCAGCTCAGCACGGAGGCTGCCGTGCAATGCGGGCCAGCTCTGGCGCCAGGTCCGTCAGCTCCAGAGCTTGAGGGCTCCTCCGTTGGTTCGCGTGAGGGGCCCGGAACCACGGGCGGGCCTGGAGCCTGCTCTGGAGCCTGCTCCAGCGCCAGCTCTGCCAGCTCCGGGGAGAGCAATTTCTGGGCCAGCTCGCCCACCGACGTGTTTGCCCAGCAGCTCCGGCGGCCCTTAGGTTGAAACAGAGGCGTGGGGGAGTGACAGGCAGCCTCAGTGTGCTCACGGCAGCCCTGACAGCCCCGCACTGGGGTTGGAAGCTTCTCAGCCGCAGCGCGCGCTCCTGCCTGCAGAGGCACGGTGCCGGGGCCACCCGCAGGTCCTGAGCCGGGCGGCCAGCATCGGGGTTGGGGCAGCGCTGTTTTTGGCCTGAGCCCGCCCAGCGCCCGCTCCAGCACCAGCTCGGGGCGCGGCCCCCGCGGTCAGCATCGTGGGGACCAGCATGGGGGTCCTGTCGGGCCCTCCGTCACCTCCACCCCTCCCCTCACTGCGCTCTCACCCCTGGGGATTTTGAACCCCCAGTTTCCCAAATAAGGCCTCAGGGGGATAGGAGGCCTCTGAGGTTGGAAACGGTGGCCAGACCTTAGCCCCAGTCCTGGAGCCTAACAGGTCAGCGGGGTGAGCGAGGAGAGCAGGAAAGGGCACAGGCGCAAGCGGGGCCTCTGCCTAAATCCTGGCGCGGGGCCGACAGAGCGGAGGACGAGGAGGACTGACTGGCCAGCGGCCCCCTGGGGCAGTGAGGTTCGGGAGAGCTGGGCCCCCGCACCCTCCCCGCACCTCCCGAGCCCACCCCCAGGACAGCCTCTGCCAGAATCGCCTGCACCTGCGCTGCGGGGTCGGGGCCTGGGGGCCGGGCTCTGAGCTGCTGCTGGAGGCGCTGCCGGCCGGGTGGAGGCACCTGGTAGGGCTCGGGCCTGAGCTCTGTTGCTGCTTCTGCAGCCGGACCAGCTCTTGGGGTGGCACGGGGGCTGCTGCTGGCACCACGGCTGGGCCCTGAGTTGCCCACAGAAATGGGAGCATTTCCGTGAGAGGAGCCAGAACGACGTGCCCGCCCCCACGGCCTGTCAGCCACCAACCCTCCCGCCGCCTGCTACAGCCAGAGCCACCGGTGTCTCCGCTACAGCCCGCCCGAGGGGGTCTGAGAATCGAGTTTGCTCCTGGTGCAGCACCAGCCTGGGGGGCTCCTGCCCCGGGCCCCGCCTCCGTGGGCCCCAGGTCCTCCATCCGTGTGGGAGAAGGTGGACACGACACTGCAGGTCGGAGCGGAGCACGCTCAACAGGACACAGGGTGGTGGGCAGTGGCAGCCACAGCCCAGGCCTCTCCTCCCTGGACCAGGGGGCCCCGAGGGGGCTGGGCTCCTGGGCCCCTCCTCAAAACCCTGAGTGGTCAGCCTGCCCCCATGAGGTTGTCCAGGCAGGGGCTGCCAAGCCTCCCTGGGCGGGTGCCCTCCAAGGCCTCCACCCGCTGTCATCCTGAGGGAAGTGGCCGCTCCTGCCTGTCCAGCCCTGCCCAATGGGGGAGCCCCCGGGCCCCTCATGTCCTGGCCCCCATCAGTGTGGGTGGAGGTCCCCTCAGGTGGCCGAGCTCCGACCCCTCCCCTCCTGCAGGGGCCCCAGAACGCAGGGAGGGGGTGCTGCCGCCGACCCCCCTCACCTCCAAGTTCACTCAAAGCCCCCCACTCCTGGGCCTGCGTCCTCGGGGGAGCAGGGCGGGCGCTGTCTGTCTAGAGGAGCTCTGACGCGCCCCACTCACCTGCGTGGCAGCTGGACGCCGGGTTGGGGCTGCCCCACCTGGGGATTCAGGCTGCCTGCCTAGAAGCGCCTGCACGGACACCTGTGCCACCTGGGCCCCTCCCCTGCCCAGCCAGCGGCCAGGGCTCCCTGGCCTGGCCGCACCCCCAGCGGCTGCTCCCCACGCGTGGGAGCCAGGCTTAGCCACGGCTACGGAGGGTCGCGAGACCAGCGCAGCCCGGCCAGCCAGGCGGGCCCAGGTCACCTCCGTGTCCCAGGCACTGACCGAGCCCAGCAAGGGGTGCGGGTCACCTTTTCAACAGCAGGTCCAGGGCCTGCTGGGTGGGGTAAGGGCGCTGCCCTGGAAGGCGGGGCACCCCCAGCCTCTCACAGGCAGGTCTCATTTTCAGCAAAGGAGGGACAGTCCAGAAAGCAGCCCAGGAGCCGCGTGTCCTGGGTGCAGCACGGCTGAGGAGTCAGCGGTCTCCTGGTGCCCTGGGGGATCCTGTGCAGGAGCGGACTCTCCCCCAGGGGACCCATCTCCAGCTGGCCGGCCTCTTAGCGGTGGCTGGGCTGTGACCATCCTTGGCCGGGGGAGGCCTGTGCAGTTAGCAGCACTGGGCAGTTCTACACTGACCTCTGATTTCAACAAACTCCCAGAGTTCCAAGTGATGGGAGAGTCAGGCGGCCTGTGGGGAACCCATGTGCTCCCGTCTGTGCGCGTGGACATCGGTCCCTAGGGCGGCACTGCCGAGGCCCGGCGAAGTGGCTCAGCTCCTGCGCCTCGCGAGTGGCACCAGCGCCTGCCCCTTAGGCTGGCACCCCGTCCGGGCCTCGCCAGGCCCTGCTGCTGGACGTGCCCAGCACAGGTTCCTGGCAGGGGGTGCTCAGGGACACCAGAGGGCCCAACAATAGCATCACACCCGGGAACAGCCCCGGGTCTTCCTCTCGTGGGCGGACCCTGCCCTCTGTCCCACTGGCCAGTGCGTGGTCGCCAGGCCTGAGCCCCACCCACGTGCCTGTGAGGGGCACCCCTCCCGGAGAACCCCAGGTGTCCAACATGCGGAGGGCTCTGCTGGGACCAGGCTGAGGGCTGGCCCTGCGCCCGGCCAGAGACCAGCTCCGGAGCAGACACCTGGGCGGAGACCTCGCGCACGGGCCCAGGCCAGGCTCCCCGGCGCAGGGACGAGGGGCGGTTGTGTGAGCAGGCGCTCACCGCAGCCTCCCTGGCTCGAGAACAGTTTGGCGGCTTTTATTTGGCAGGAGGGCGGGCACCTCCCGGGGAGCGCTCCTGGGCCCACGGGGCTCCCGGGGGGCTGGGGTCCTGGGGCGCCTGGGCCTGCAGCCGGCACAGCGCATCCACCTGCCTCCGCTTCTCCTTGGCGCGGGTGATGGCGGCGCGGAAGAGGCCACAGAAGAGCTGCACGGAGGGGGGCGAGTCGTCGTTGCCGGGCACGGGGTAGGTGATGAGGCAGGGATTGCAGTTGGTGTCCACGATGCCCACCGTGGGGATGTTCATCTTGGCCGCGTCCCTCACGGCCACGTGGGGCTCGAAGACGTTGTTGAGCGTGTGCAGGAAGATGATGAGGTCGGGCAGGCGGACCCCGGGCCCCAGGAGGAGGGGGGCGTTGGTCAGCAGGCCGCCCTTGAAGTAGCGGGTGTGGGCGTACTCGCCGCAGTCCCGGGCCGTGTTCTCGATCAGGTGGGTGAACTGCCGCTGGCGCCCCACCAGCAGGATGATGCCCTTGCGGTAGGCCACGTGTGCCGTGACGTTCAGGGCCAGCTGCAGGTGGGCGGCCGTCTGCTCCAGGTCGATGATGTCCTGGCCCAGGCGGCTCCCGAAGATGTAGGGCTCCATAAACCTGCGGGGCGCCCCGGAGGCGGTGTGAACGGGGCTCCACGGCCTCCTGGTCCAGACCCACAGCACCCTGGACCAGGGGCGCCCCCCCAGGTGGTGCGCTGGCCCCCAGCGTGAGGACCCCGAGCAGTGGACGAGCCATGATGGCCAGGGGCCGGATCGGCCACCTACAAGCCTCCGGCAGTGGCTTCAGCCCTCTGAGCGCCCACCTCTTCCCACGGGCACCCCCAGAGCTAGCCTGCGTGGATGGCGGACGCCCAGTCAGGCCAGCGGCTCCCTGGCTGGGTGCTGGGTTAGCGGCGGCTTCTGTCTGGACTGTGGTCATCACCACAGCCTCCCAGCCCTGACCGCGCGAATTCTCTGAACCCACGGTGGACCGCAGGCCTCCAAACTGACCCAGTGCCCGTGCCCAGGCTCCTAGGCTTGCCCCCAACATGCAGCGGGGGAGGGGGTCCCCCTCACAGGTCCACGATCACAATGTCCTCCACCTCGGTCACCTCAGGAAAGGGCAGCAACACCCCCAAGGTCCCCTGGGTGGAGGTGGGGGGGCACCTGCCCCTCCTGCCTCTCCACCGCTGACCAGACCTGGGCCCCCGGCTTTGCCTCATCACCCGGGAGGCGGCCCGGCCCGCGCCCACCTGTGCCCCACCTGTGCCGGCAGCCGGCCTTGTGGCCCAGGTGCACGCGGGCGTCGAAGAGGCTCCGCAGCGAGAACAGCTCCCTCAGGCTGAAGAAGTCCGCGTGCTGCAGGGGCTCGCCCAGGGCCCTGGCGCCGAGACCTGGGGGGGGGGTGTGCGGTCGCCTCCGGCTCTTCCCCGGCCCGCCCGGCCCCAGCCCTGGGGTCCTCCCCGGAAAGGGGGGCCCAGCGGGTTTCCGAGGCGCCTCGGGTACCGGCCAGGGGTCCCCACGAGCCGAGGGGGCTCGGTGCCCGGGTCCCGCCCCAGGAGCGCGCGCTCACTCCCCGGAGCGGGAAGGAGGTGCTGCCCCGGGCGCCCCGCTCCCGGCCCCCCGCGCCCCGCTCCCGGCCCCCCGCCCCCGCTCCCGGCCCCCCCGCCCCGCTCCCGGCCCCCCCGCGCCCGCTCCCGGCCCCCCGCGCCCCGCTCCCGGCCCCCCCGCGCCCCGCTCCCGGCCCCCCGCGCCCCGCTCCCGGCCCCCCGCGCCCCGCTCCCGGCCCCCGACCCCCCGCGCCCGGCCCCGGCCCCCGCGCCCCGCTCCCGGCCCCCCCGCGCCCCGCGCCCGGCCCCCCCGCGCCCCGCTTCCAGCCCCCCGCGCCCCGCGCCCGGCCCCCCGCGCCCGGCCCCCGCCTCGGGGACCCCGCCGGCCTTACCGCTGCCGGCCTCGGGCTCGCTGACCGCCGGGGCCGCGGCGCTGCCGCGCGTCCTGCTGGTCCGGCCGGCCGGGCTCGCGCTCGGGCCGATCAGCGGCCGCCGCCACGCGGGCCGGACGCCTGCGGACGGGACGGGACGGGACGGGGGGCTCGGGCGCGCTCCCGGCCCGGCCCCCCGCCCGCCCCCGCGCGCCCCCCGCCAGCCCCCCGCGCCCGCCCCCCGCACCCCGCGCCCGCCCCCCGCGCTCACCCGCGCCGAGCAGCCGGGGCAGCCGCGGGCCGGGCGCCATGGCGGACGCGGCGGGCACGGGCGCTCGGGACGGCGGCTGCTCCCCGGCCCGCCCCGCCCCGCCGCAGCGCCGCCCGCAGGCCGGAGGACCCACCGCGCCCGCCCCGCCCCGGCGCCCCGTCCCCGCCCCGGCGCCCCCGCCCCGCCCCCGCGCCCGGGACCCAGCGGCGCGCGCAGGGGGGTCGCGGTCCAGTGCGCGGTCGGGGGGGGGTCGGGGGCGCCCCTCCTGCCCTAGGGCCACCGCGGACGGGGGCCGGCGGCCCGACAGCGAGCCCCGCCCCCCCCCCCCGGCGCGTGGGACCCCCGCGCTGCGGGACCCCCCTCACCCCCGACGGGAGCTTGCACCCCGCGTCCAGCACGGCCGCTTCCTCTCCAAGGTCGCTTTGCTTTCAGACATTTAACTCAGGAGATCCCACAACGGCTCGACGAATCTGAACCCTAAACCTAGACTCATGTTGGGGGACACGACGGCACCGGTCCCGAGCGCCCCGAGCACCCGGCGGGCACCCACCACTGCCCGCCCGCGCCCCGCCGGCTGCCCCAGGAGCGGGGGTGCCGCGGCCCGGGAGCCCGGGAACCCGCCCGCCGCTGCGTGGGGCCCGCGGGACCCGCCCGCTGAGCACCAGGAGCCCCCGGCCCCCCTACCCCCCGCCCCCCCCCCCCCGGGGCGCCGCGGCCGGGCGCGAGGCGGCTCCTTCAAGGCCCGCCCCGTCGCTTAGCAACCGGACGCCCCGCGGCGCCCGCGGCCAGGGCTGCCCAGAGGCGGTTCCCGAGCGGCTCAGGGGCCGTCGAGGCGCGATGTCCCCGGAGAAGCCCCCGCGGCGCGCAGAGCCCGCGGGCCCCGAGGCCGCGGCCGCCCGGAGCGGACCAGCGACTTGTACTGCGTGAGCCAGGGCCTGCCGGGCAGGTTCAACCACCCCGCGTGCTTCAGGGGCTACCGGTGAGGAAGGTGGGGGGCCCTGGGTCCTCCAGGGCCTGCCGGGCGGGTTCAACCACCCCGCCTGCTTCAGGGGCTACCGGTGAGGAAGGTGGGGGGCCCTGGGTCCTCCAGGGCCTGCCGGGCGGGTTCAACCACCCCGCCTGCTTCAGGGGCTACCGGTGAGGAAGGTGGGGGCCCTGGGTCCTCCAGGGCCTGCCGGGCAGGTTCAACCACCCCGCGTGCTTCAGGGGCTACCGGTGAGGAAGGTGGGGGCCCTGGGTCCTCCAGGGCCTGCCGGGCGGGTTCAACCACCCCACGTGCTTCAGGGGCTACCGGTGAGGAAGGTGGGGGGCCCTGGGTCCTCCAGGGCCTGCCGGGCGGGTTCAACCACCCCGCGTGCTTCAGGGGCTACCGGTGAGGAAGGTGGGGGCCCTGGGTCCTCCAGGGCCTGCCGGGCAGGTTCAACCACCCCGCCTGCTTCAGGGGCTACCGGTGAGGAAGGTGGGGGGCCCTGGGTCCTCCAGGGCCTGCCGGGCGGGTTCAACCACCCCGCCTGCTTCAGGGGCTACCGGTGAGGAAGGTGGGGGGCCCTGGGTCCTCCAGGGCCTGCCGGGCAGGTTCAACCACCCCGCGTGCTTCAGGGGCTACCGGTGAGGAAGGTGGGGCCCTGGGTCCTCCAGGGCCTGCCGGGCGGGTTCAACCACCCCGCCTGCTTCAGGGGCTACCGGTGAGGAAGGTGGGGGCCCTGGGTCCTCCAGGGCCTGCCGGGCAGGTTCAACCACCCCGCGTGCTTCAGGGGCTACCGGTGAGGAAGGTGGGGGGCCCTGGGTCCTCCAGGGCCTGCCGGGCGGGTTCAACCACCCCGCCTGCTTCAGGGGCTACCGGTGAGGAAGGTGGGGGCCCTGGGTCCTCCAGGGCCTGCCGGGCAGGTTCAACCACCCCGCGTGCTTCAGGGGCTACCGGTGAGGAAGGTGGGGGGCCCTGGGTCCTCCAGGGCCTGCCGGGCGGGTTCAACCACCCCGCGTGCTTCAGGGGCTACCGGTGAGGAAGGTGGGGGCCCTGGGTCCTCCAGGGCCTGCCAGGCAGGTTCAACCACCCCGCGTGCTTCAGGGGCTACCGGTGAGGAAGGTGGGGGCCCTGGGTCCTCCAGGGCCTGCCGGGCGGGTTCAACCACCCCGCGTGCTTCAGGGGCTACCGGTGAGGAAGGTGGGGGCCCTGGGTCCTCCAGGGCCTGCCGGGCGGGTTCAACCACCCCGCGTGCTTCAGGGGCTACCGGTGAGGAAGGTGGGGGCCCTGGGTCCTCCAGGGCCTGCCGGGCGGGTTCAACCACCCCGCCTGCTTCAGGGGCTACCGGTGAGGAAGGTGGGGGCCCTGGGTCCTCCAGGGCCTGCCGGGCGGGTTCAACCACCCCGCGTGCTTCAGGGGCTACCGGTGAGGAAGGTGGGGGCACCTGCGTCCTGTTTTGTTCGCGGGGAGGCAGAAGCCTTCAGCGCGGGGACTGGCTTCGCGGCAGGCGCTCGGCACCGGGCCCTTGCGGGAAGTGTATTCTGGAGGGGAGCACACGGCCTCTCTACAGAAGTGACCCCAAACCAGCCCGCACCAGTGACCCCGCTGTGTCAGGCGGGGGTCGGGGGTGGGGAGAGGCGGTGCCGGCCTGGGGAGGGTGTTCCTGCGAGCTGGTCTCTGGGGCGGCTTGGTCAGCACCCTTTGCTGCAGGGGCTGCACAGGGTGAGGGGTGGGGCCTCCCAGGCCCGCCAAGCCCCAAGGCTGCGTGAGGGGCCGCCCCCCAAGGACGCTTGGTCCAGCCCCTGGGTCTCCACGGGGTCGCGCCTGGCCGGCAGGGCCAGCCTCTCTGGGCTGCCGAGGCTGGGGAGGTCCTGTTGCCCGCACAGAGCTCGCGGGGTAAGTCTTCACAAACTCTTGGCCTTTGGCCTGAAAAACATTGGCCGGGTGAGGGCCGCCACTGTGGATCCTCTGGGGTCCGTCCGCTCACAGGGATAAGCACCCAGGGGTGCTGCCAGTTAGCTGAGACCGTCCTGCCCCTCTCACAGTGGCCGGTCAGCAAACCCAGTTCTGCTCCCAGCTCCCGTTTCTCCATGGCCTGAGGCAGCCGTGCTCTCCAGGCTGACCGGCAGCCTCTGCGCACACCCGGTACTCTGCCTGCTAGCAGGGGCACCTCCTTGGTCCTGTGGGAGAGCGGGTGGTGTCCTCCTGGCCCAGCCGAGCCCCGGTAGGGGAGCAGCCGCCCCATGGGCGGAGTTTGCTGAGCTGCTGTCTGAGTGGCCAGCACGGGGCCTGCAGTGATACCCCTGATCTGCACTGGCCTCGGCTGGGGCCTCCCAAGAGAAGGGGGCCCTGGCGGCAAGGTCTGGGGGCCCGCACACGGCTTACCCACCCACCAGGAGAGTCGGGCTGCCGGGCCGGGGCTTGGGGGCTGCCTTCAGGGAAGGGCCAGGGCGGCAGAGCCTGGGGCATTTCCAGCAAAGCTGCGTCCACCGGCTACTTCAGGCAGAACGGGGCAGGGTTTGGAGAGCTGAGGGTGTTTCTGGCCTGGCAGGAGCAGGGAGCGCGCCTCCGTGTACACGACCAGCAACCAAACTTACGGGAGCCGAGCGCCCACGGTGCACGAGATGCCGGTAAGTGGGGGCCGGCGCGGGGTCCTGGCACCTCCACCCTCGCAACCCCAGAGCCCCACGCCCTGGGCCTCCCATTTTGTGGCGAGGGTATTGGTTTTTTCTTCCCAAGTAGTCGTGATCCCGAAAGCCCCGGGTCATCCTTATTCGGGAGCCCCCGGGCACAGCTCCGGAGAGGATTGCCTATTCAGAGAGTTCCAGAGCGTGCAGGGGCCACTGGCCCGGAAGCGGGTGCCCCCATGCTCTCCAAGGATCGGGTGTTTCTATGACAAACCCACAGTCCAGGCCCACACGGGGCGGCGGGTCCGCTCTCACCCGCACGGCGAGAAGGCGGCTTCTGGGGAGGGCGAGTTGGCACAGCTGGAGCGAAGGGCAGCTGCTGCCCCGCCTGCTAGTCTGCAGCCTGTTTCCCAAGTGCGGCTGCCCCTCTGGCCAGCAGCTGTCCGAGCTCCCCGAGGGGAGGGCAGCGAGACCCCGCGCTGCAGGGAGCACAGGCCTGCGGTCCCTCCCTGGTCTGCTGGGGCCGTGCCCGCTCCCCCAAAACCCGGCTTCAGGGGCCGGCTCCCCAGAACTGGCCCAGGTGTAACGCACGTGGGTGCCGGCCGGGGGTCCATGCTGGGAGGGCGGCGAGGCCACCGGTGCCGTCCTGCTTTCCCTGTGGGCCCCGCACTGCTCTCGAGGCTGCGTTGAATGAGGGCGCGAGCCCTTTCTCTCGCCTCTGCCTCCTGCCCAGGAGCCGGTGCCCGCGCCCTCCGGCCGGGCTGCTCCCTGGGCCACCGTCCAGGCTCAAACACCCACAGCCGCCCAGCCCCCACGCCCGGCCCGGGTCACAGAGGTGTCACCTCGCTGGACTAACTCCTCCCCGGCTCAGCTCCCCAGTGGCCACGCCTGAGGCCTCACAACCACCCCCGCAGCCCCTCCCCAGGCCCCGGGGAGCAGGGTGGACCCTCAGGCCGTGCAGTCCGGCGCATGCCAGGGCCCAAAGCTCTTTGCACAGAGGGATGAGGCTCAGCCGTAGCTGCCCCGTGGCCCAGCCGGTCACCACAGACCCCGGCCCCTTCAGGCCGGACGCCCAGCGCTGCGGCCTGCTGTCCACCACCCGCCACAGGAGGCGCTCAGCCACGCTGCCCGGACGGCAGGGCCGGGATGGCCGGACGCCATCGTCCACCCTGGCCTCCCTGCTTCTGGGGAACGGGGACTCCATTTGCTCCCCAATTCCTACGTTTCTTCCCAAATACCCAACAACTGGCCGCTCACCACCCGCCCTACCACCCGGTTCCTTTTCACTTCCAGAAAGTATTTTATCCCAATTCGAGCAAGTTCTCCAGGCAGCTGGCCACCGGGGGCATGTTCCAGAGCAACGCTCTCAACGTCAGCCTGGACAGGAGCGTCGTGACCGGGCCCGACAACCGCATCACCCCCTACGACCGGCTCGACTTCCACCCCAGCTACAACGTCAGCCAGCCGTCCATCTGCAACTGACGGCCACCTGCAATGATGAGGGGCGGCCCACCGGCGGCTGGCCGCGCCCCTGCCGTGGGCAATTTGCCCGTTGGCAGGCAGAGACGTCCCTTCTCCCCCTGGAAAGAGTTTTCTTTTCTGGATTAGAAACAGAGGTTCCTGACTTGGTTTTCCATTAAAAATGTTGCTGCATCCCGAGCCTCTGCCTTTCATCTGGGGCTGTGGGCATCCGGCCCAGGCCTGGACCTGGGGGCGCCGCGGCCTGCCTCAGGGAGCCGTGCTCTGCCCACGCGGCTCATGGCAGCCTCGGAGGGAGGGGCGCTGGCTCCGGGCAGGAAGGGCAGCACTGGGCCGGGGGCGTTCGGCCCCCATCCACCAGCACGAACTTGACCTCAGCGCCGCGACATCCGACAAGGGCGGGGGCAGGTGACCAGTGCTTGCGAGTTCTCTGTGTTAATTTCAATAGAAAGTCCTCGTAGAGCAGGTGGGGGCAGCCACTTCCTGGGGGACCGTAGGGAATTGGCGGATCTGGCTGGACGCCCTTGGGGGGCAGAAGGGTAAAGGAGGCATCCTGGAGCCCTCAGGGGCTTTTTTAGGCTTTTAATGATCCTTCTGCACCATTTGTAGTGAGGCCTCCAGGCGAGGGCAGGTGGGGGCTGGGGCCAGGAGGCTGGCAGCCCCCCGTGAATCTTTACTCCTTGCGGGCTCTCTGGTGTCCGCGTTCCCTCCTGGTCTCCGCTGCACCCACTGCTGCGCCCTCTGCTGCACCCGTGTCACCGCCCGGATGGCCCCAGCCTCTGGTTCAGGTGTGCCTGCTCACACACGCTCACACCCTCCTCCAGGCGCCGCCATCAGGCGCGTGTAAGCCCACGGGTGCCGATCACAGACGCCAGTGGCAGGAGGGCGTGAAACCCGATCACAGCCCTGCGCAGGCCGCCCCTGAGAGCGGGTCCTGGAGACGCCCATCCAAAAGGATTCTCTGTGCAAACGCGTTGGGAAGAAATTACTCCTCCTCCCCTGCAGGGTCAGGCCCGCTTAGGGAGGGGCACGGAGCTGTAGATGTGCCCCTGAGGTGAGGCCCCCAGCCCGGGGAGGCCCCCAGTGTGCAACAGACTGAGGGGGTGGCGTGAGCAAGCTGGGGGAAGAGGGCATCTGGGGGGCAAGTCTGTGAACAGCCCCTTCCCACGCTACCCAGGAGAGCGCCCCAAGGAAAACCCCGCAGGTGCCGCCCGAGCCCCATCAGGAGGGCCATTGGGTCAGCGCTTACCAGTGATAACACTACACCCCTGGGTGCTTGGTGGAGGCTTCGCTAGGGCCTTCAGGCAGCGCCTCTTTCCACAAACAGAAAACGCACCCGCTGGTAGTGCAGGGAACCCTCCCCCTCCCGTGCTCTTCACAGGGGGTGCGTGACCCCCGCCCCGTCGTAGGCCCAGGCCTGCCGCTGCAGTCAGCACTCATGAAAGTGCTGGGGGCGGCGGCCCTGGAGGCTGCACCCGTGGGCTGCAGGTGCGAGGGGCCCCTGTGGAGGACAAACTGCAGAAACCGACTCATGGGCAGTGCTTGGTTTATTAGCTTAAAAAACCAGTTCTGACAGACAAAACAGACTGGTTTCTGTCTCCGAGTGTTAAAAGCACTCCTGGCAATTTACATGAGACTCCAGCAGGGTGCATGGCAGCCTTTCCTGGAAGCACGTGACTGACGTGGGGGTTCCGGCGCACCCGGCCGCCCGGACGGCCTGGCGTCTCTGGCAGGTGCCCGCCAAGGCGCTGGTGCAGGTGTGCTCACGGGGGCGGCGGTGAGTTCCTGCTGGACCCCCGGGCGCAGGTGCAGGGAGTTCATGCGCAAGCCAGCGTGCCCACCGCCCTGCCAGGTCCCGGTCCTGGGAGCCCAGCGGCAACCGTGGGCTGCAAACTCGGCAACCGAGCAAAGTCCGCCAGAAATTGCACAAAAATGCCGCATGGGCCAGGGCCCGGGCCGGGCGACACGGGGCCCGCCAGCCACCAGGAATACGCTTCCTCCTGCGGCTTGGGGCTCAGCAGCGCCACCCTGAGCACTGGCTCCGCGGGCAGGTGGGGCCTCTCCCCCCAGCGAGGATGCTCAGCCCGCAAGAGCCCCCCGCCCCCCAAGGACCAGGACAGGAATGAAGCGCTGTGGTGGCCACGTTGGATGCGAGGCTGCCGCTGTCACCAGCAGGACAGGACACAAGCTGGCCGGCCGCCGCCTGGGACTCCACAGGGCACACCAGATGACCCACCTGCCGGCCCGTGTCCAGGCAGCTCCCCGAGGAGAGAAGACACGCTCCGCCCCCTCTCCCCCATAGAAAGAGGGCTGGGGTCCTTCCTCCACGCCGTCCAGGAGCCCCCAGCGAGGTCCGGGCCCAGCGGGCAGCCTGCGGTTCCTGGGCGCCCACCGGCTGCCAACCAGAGTCCATCAGTTGCTGGAAGCCGGCCAGGCGGCTGGAGGCCAGACGCTGCAGCCGGGATGGCCTACAAAACCCAACTGCTATAGTTTCCAAAAATATTTCTTTACAGCACTTTAAATAATTTACCAAAAAGCTACAAAAACCCTATTTACCAGGACACGCCTGTTCAACACCTGCTGCTCCCCGCGGCCACGGCCAGCTCCCACACCGCCCAGGCACCCAGCCTCCCGCGGGGGCTGCGTCCACAGACGCCGGGGCGCGATCACAGCTGGAGAACGCTGCTCCTGGCCACCGGGCTGCTGCTTCCGTCCTCCGCGGAGGCGTCGCTGAGCTCGCTGGCGTCGCTGCCCAAGGCCTCCTGGTCGTCCTCGTCACGCTCCACCACCCTCTGTCTGTCCTTCAGGCCTCCCCCGTCTGCCGGGCCCCTGTTCCTCCTGTTCGGCAGGCTGAGCCCGGCCTGGGGCTTCCTGGGCGGCCACTGTCCGCCCGCCTTCTTCACGAGCGTGGACGAGCTGCCAAACACCGGGCCGGGGCCTGCCTGGGCCTCCCGGAAGGCGGAGAAGGACGGGCCCGCCAGAGGCAGGCTCAGGGGGGCGCTGAAGAGGCTGGCCGGCTTGCCCCCCCAGGGGACGCTCTTCCCGAAGTGGAACAGCTGCGTGGAGAGCAGCGGGGAGAAGCTTGAGAAGGGCAGGCCTTTCTTGGGGTCCATCACCAGGCTGGGGGTGCACCGGGCCTGGGCGCCCTTCTGCATGCCGCCCAGGTCCCCTCGCCACGCCGCGCCCCTGCCTTCCGGGCCCAGCGCCCACGCGCTCTGCAACCGGCTCTGGTGGGCAAAGTCTCCCCACGGGGGTGCCGAGCCAGCGGGCGGCCCGGCCTCCCTCCTGCAGGCGGGGTTCCGGACCAGCATGCCCTGACCCCGGGAGCCCGCCGGGAAGGCCCCGCCGGCACAGCTCGGCAGCTGACCGAAGGCGCCTTCCCCGGCGGCAGCGGCGGGCTCGGCCCCGCGGGGGCTCGGGTCTCTGTGAGCACACGCGTTCCTGCGGCCCCTGGCACACGCCGTCCCGCTGCCGCTCCTGGGCAGGGCAGCAGGGAGGCCGGCCTGCTCCGCCCGGGGGTGGCTCCTCCCTCCCAGAGCAGCGGCGCTGGCTGGGCTGGGCGCCGCCGCGCGCCCCGTGCCCCTGGGAGCTGAAGCCAGCTGGGAGGCCCCACGGCCCCGCTGGCTCCGGGTGCACACGCCGGCCGGCGGGGCCGGGAGCCGTCTGCTGCCCGCTCCGGGGGTGGCCGGGCCCGCTCCGCGCACGTCGGGAACACTCGGGGACTCCTTGGCCTTTGCAGCTAGAAACTTCCTGATCTCCAACTCGATGCTATCGTCACTGTCCACGGAGCTGCTGTCCTCAGATGGGGGGCTGGGGGCTGGCGGCTCTGGGGACCCCGAACCGCAGGGGAGCAGCCCCCCTCCCGTGGCCCTGCTCTGTAACTGCAGGGCAGGGGCCGCGCTGCTCTCTGCTCCGCTGCAGCAGAGGCCCAGGGGCTTCTGGGCTGGGCTCTCCCTGCTGTCCCCCGCAGCCCTGGGGATGCAGCTCTTCAGCCAACGCGGGCTCCTGCCCGCCCAGCCTTTCTGGAGGCCGCCCGCCACATCCGAGAGCTGCGTGGTGCCGCCGAAGCGGACCCTCTTCCGGCACGGTGCTCTGGGGTCCTTCCACCTCTTTCTGCGCTTGGACCTCAGCAAGTCCTTGATGGCCGTGTCCAGGTCCTCGTCGCTGTCCAGTGAGCTGCTCTTGTCCCCTGAGCTCTCTCTCTCCTCTCCGCTCCTGGCCGTGGCTGCCGGCCCCTGCCCGGGCGCCGGGCTGCCCCTCGCCTCCGGCACCGGCCCGTCCCCCAGCCCCAGCGTCCTGGCGGGGGGCTGGGTCCTGCTCTCGCCGTCCCTCCCAGGGGCCTCACTGGCGCTGCCCTGGCTGGGGTCTGCATCCTGGGGACACTCCTTCGCTGCCTCCCTGGCTTTCTTGGGCATGGACAGCCGCTGGGCGTGGCTGCCCCTGCGTCTCCTCCTGCAGCTGAGTGGCGGCTCCATGGGGTGAGAGAGAGAAGCCTTGGGGCCCCCGGCCTGGCTGAGGGCGGGGGCCGGCCGGGGGCTCTGCGGGGCCGGGGAGCCCGCCGACTGGGCCTTCAGAGCCAGGAACGTCCGGATCTCCTGCTCGATGCTGTCGTCACTGTCCACGGAGCTGCCGTCGCTGTGGGCGCGGGAAGGCACGTCTGGGGTGCGGGTGCACGGGCTCACGGGGCGGGGCCCCTCACCGCCCTCCACGGGGGCCGGCAGGATGGCCTTGGAGATGTCCAGGATGGCTTCGGCACACATCAGCTCGGCAGAGGTGTCGGCTCGGCTGGAGGCCCGGCCCCCTGACTCGCCTCTGGCCATGGCGCCGACGGTGGGGGCCGGGCTTTCCCGGGGCGGCGGGCAGGGGTGGTCAGGGTCCAGGCCGCCTGGGCCGAGGTCCAAGGCCTTTGTGGCCGCCGGCTTCTTCCTGCCCGGCGCTTTCCTGTGGGCTTCGGGCAAGGCACTTTGGGTAGCGGGGCTGGGCCCCTGCTCCTCGCCCAGGGGGTCCCCGCCCGCCCCCCTCCTCTTCTCCAGCTGGTACAGCTGAATGGCCTCCTCGATGCCGTCATCGCTGCTGGACTCAGAGGCCTCGTGCGCCAGGCCTGTGCTCTCCGCCCGCCTGCCCCTCCTGCCCAGGCCGCCGCCCCTCTTGGCCTCCTGGCCTTGGCCATGGGTGGCCTCCAGAGGGCGGCCGGGAGTGGCCGGCTTTGTGCTGCCGAGGCTCCCTGGCCCAGGGGTGGCCCTAGATCTCAGGGTCCTGGGCTGTGCCTGGACCTTGGTCAGCCTGGAGGGCTTCCGGAAGACGAACTCCCGACAGGCTCCGGGCAGACCCCGTGGGCGCGGCCTGGCCGCAGGCTCTCTGCCAGGTCTGGGCGCCGGTCGGGCCGGCCTCCCGCCGGGCTCCATGCCTGCGCCTGCGGAGAAGCCACACTTGGTCTGGTGCTGCCGCTTCTCATGCAGAAACGCCTCTATCTCCGCCCGGATGCTCTGCTCAAAGGAGTCCTCGCTGCTGGCGCTGACCGGGGAGGTGGCGCCCGGGTCCTCGCTGGCAGCCACGCAGCAGCCTCCCGAGCCAGGGGCGGGCCTGGGGGGGCCCGGGGCCGTCGGGGTGCTGCTCCGCAGCTCAGGCTCGCCCCGGCAGGCCCTGTCTAGGGCCCTGGGCGGCTGCGCGGCCCCGCTCTTGGCCTGCAGGTAGGCCTGGATGGCTTCTTCGATGTCCCTGTCCACGGAGTCGTCGCTGTCGGAGTCCAGCACCAAGGGGCCGAGGCCTGTGGCTTCCCTGGCGCCCGCAGGGTCCAGGGCTGCAGCAGGGCTGTGGGCAGTGAAGGCAGGTGGCGCCGGCGGGGTGTCGGCGCCCCGCTCTGCTGGCGGGCTCCCGTGCAGGGCCCGCGCCCGGCTCCGGCCCAGAGCCGCCTTGTCGCAGCGCAGCCGGCTGAGGACCATCTGCACCCGGGCGCTGACCGCCGAGTCCCCGCCGCCCTCGGGCGACTCGGAGCAGCACCCGGGAAGCCTACAGCTCCCCGGCGGCCCGAAGGCCTCCCATGGGGACTGGAGAGCAGCCACAGGGGGCCCGTTCATGAGGAACATGCTAGCGGGCGGGGAGGCGCACGGCGAGGCGGCTCCTGGTCTCCCGGCCCGTTCACACCCGGGGAGGCGGGCAAGCCTGTCGGCACAGCGTGACTGGAGGCTCTTTGTGCAGGGCCGCCATGGAGGGCGGCCGGGAGAGGCTGGTCAGAACTGGGGTCCAGCGGGCGGGCCTGGGCGGGGGTGGGTCGCCCCGGCCTCAGTCTCCTTGGCCCGCCGGCTGCCCCCCACCCGGTGCCGCTGTCCCCCAGAAGCACAGGCGAGGCCATCTCCGTCCCTCTGCTCTCACTGTGGGCATCATCCTCTCGGCGAGCGAGCAGGTGGGTTACCAGCAGAGGTGGTCACGGGGCGTTAGCCAGGGCGTGTGCGCACCTGCCTCCTCGCGGGCTGGAGCGTGCGACGGTGAGAGGCCTGGGCTGCAGGAGGCTGCGGGGCTGGTCCATCTTGGGCGGGACAGGCAGCTCCTGAAAGAGAGGTGGGCAGGCGCGGTGAGCGATGCAAAGAGCATGTTTCTGGGCCACGAAGAGCCACCTGACCACAGCCTTCACTGAAAATGGCAACGGCCGCCCGCCAGGCGGGCTCGCGGGGCCTCGCTTCTGGTCAGTGGGCACAGGGTCGGCCCAACGACCACATGCCCTTCTGCGCCTGTGTGGCCATCGCCCCACGGTCTCCAGGGCTCCCTCCCCACGTGGCTGCATCAGCAAGACGCTGAGCCAGGCTTGGGAAGACCTGCTGGCAGGCTTGACACGGAGCCTGTGGGCTGCAGCACCAGCAAGGAACTGAGGGGTGTCGACCTCTCCCCGCTCCCCGCCCCTCAGAGTGGAGAGCCCTGCAGCAGGGGGGCAGGAGGAGCGCTCCAGGGAACAGACTGCCGCCCCTGAGGGTGCTGCAGGCCCGGGGCGGACGGGTTTGGTGAACAGGCCCCTCCACCAGGGCCTTCCTTTCTGGCCAGCTCCTCAGCTGCTGGTGCTGGAGAGGCCAGGCTGGCCCTGAGGGCGGCTGGCCACAGAGGCACAGACCCACTCTCACCATGCGACCAGAACCCGCCAGCGGGCACGGCTGGTCCAGGCCCAGACGTTTACCGTTACTGGTTTGTGATCCTAAAGTGAAGCTGAAGAGTCAGAGTTTATCGCCACGACTTGAAATTCTCTCCAAGGCGAGGGGCCGCCTGTGGGGAGCAACCGTGTTGGCAAAATGTCCCGGGGAAGGTCTTCCTGGGTCCCACGTGCCAGATGCCCCGGCCCACTCTTCCAGGGACCCCGGGCTGCCCGGCATCTAGCTCAGAGGCCGAGGCCAGTGCTAGGCAGTACTTTGGGAAAGTCTCCGCAGGACTCACCCCAGACGGGAAGCGGCTCATCACGATGGCCTCACCATCTCAGGGGGGCGGCTCCCGGGCTGCAGCGTGTGCAGGGGGACGTACGTGACAGACCTTCTGTCCTCAGGCCACTGCACCCCACCATCCGCCCGCACCCCACCTCCGGGGGGCCCCCAGACTTGGAGCAGGGGACCCTGATGAGGTCTCCCCCACCGGCAGGGTCCTGCACACACCTGGCCGCCTCGGTCGAGGCAGGCACGTCTCAAACAGCAACACAACCCCCCAACACGGGCAGTGACTTCCACACCAGGCAGCAAACTCGGGGAAAGAAGACACGCCGGGCTCTGCCTCGAGCGACGACTGCAGGCCCGGGGTACCCGCCGGAGGGGAGGCTAGAGACACAGAGGGGGTCTCCCGCCCCTGGGGGTGAATCTTGCTGGAAAATCCCCAGAACCACTGGCAGAAATCCCGGGCTGAGGCTGTCAGGCTGTGCCCTGCACGCGAGCACCCCGCCGTCAGGTCTCCAGGAAGGGGTGGGGACACCAGCCCAGAGCGCCAGGTCTGGCACCTGGCCGGGCACCCGCGTCCTCGGACGGAGGCCTGGGCTTTGTCCCTGCCAGCCTGGCCCCCTGCTGGGAAAGGCGCCAAGCAGCCCGTGCTTACCTCTCAGGTGGGGTCTGCTGCAGACAGCAGGCCTGGCCCACAAGGGCGGGTCTGCAGACCTGGGGGGCGTGCAGGACAGCACCCCCTGCTTGCCTGCCAGGCCAGACTACCCAGCTGCAAAGCGGCCCCCGCGGGGGCACTGGGAGCCCGGAGCCCTTTCACCTCCTGCCCCTCCTCCACGCCTGCCCAGGGCGCGCACCTGGCGAGGGACCAGGAGCCACCGGGCAGCCACCTGTGGCTCAGCCCGCTACATGCCAGCCCGGGCCCAGGGCCGGGCCAGGCCTCCGGCGGGCGCGGCGCGCGGCTGTCTGCCGGGTCCGCGGGGCGCCGGGGCCCGAGCCCGAGCCCAGCCCCCCCGGCGGCCCCCGGGGCCTCTCCGCCGGCACCGGCCCTGCTCGGAGGCGCGCCGAGGCCAGGCCGAGGCTCCCGCGGCCTCACCTGCGCCTCACCTGGGCCCGCGCCCGCCGCCTCCGGGCACGCGCGGCCGGGGCACGGCGGGCACGACCCCCGCGGCCGGGTCACGCCGGCCCCCCGCGCCCCCCGCCCGCGCCCCCCGCCCGCGGCCGCCCGCGCGCTCACCTCGCCGGCGCCCCGACCCGCGCCGGCCGCCCCCGCGCCCGCCCGCCCGCGCGCGTCCCGGGGGCGGGGGCCGGCCGGGCGCGGGGGCGCGGGCGGCCGCGGGGTCCCGGGGCGCCCCGCCCCCGGCCGCGCGGGAGGGGCGGCGCCGCGGGAGGCGCGGGGCGGGGCGGGGCGGCGCGGGGCGGCGCGGGGCGGGGCGCCCCCCACGGCCGCCCTCCCGGACCTACCCGCGCGGCGGCGGCGCGCTCCGGAAGCCGTGCCCGGGCCGGGCATCATGGGAATGGCACGGCCAGTTCCGGCGGGCGCGCGGCCCGGCCGGACCCCCGCCCGCCGCGCGCCCACCTGCCGGCCCCGCGAGGCCCCGCCCGCCCGCCGCCCGCCGCCCGCCGCCCGCCGCCCGCGGGCCGGGGTGCTGGCGCGGGGTGCTGGCGCGGGGGGCGGCGGGCGGCGGGCGGGCGGGGTGCCCCCTCCCCAGGGCCGCGGCGGCGAGCTGGGGGGGGCGAGGACCGGGCCGGGAGCGCCGCAGGGCTCGGGTTTGGACCGGGTCGCGGCCGCCCGCGGGGAGGCGGCCACCTGCCCGCCCCTGCCCGCCCCTGCCCGCGCCCTGCCCGCGCCCTGCGCGCCCCTGCCCGCCCCTGCGCGCCCGCGTCCCCGGCCTGCCTGCCCTGGAAGCGGCCTGTCCCCTCGCGCTACCCCCACGACCCCCCAAAACTGCGCGCTGGAAAGTGCAGCCCAGGCCTGCGGCCGGCCTTGCCTTGGGGTTTGCTGAATGCCTGCGTGGCTGCCCCCCGCCGGGCCCAGGCTCCCCTTCAGGAACCTGGCTGAGAACCACGCGTCCCCTGGCCAGGTCCTGGCGGGAGGCAGGGCTGACACCTGCGCTGCACCGACGCCCAAACTTAAGAGTAGCCGGGGACCCGGTCCCGTCTCCCCCATGCTGCGGCCAGTGGAGGCTGGGGGGTCCCGGCCACGGCCCCGGCCCCACCGGGCAGGCAGCTGTGACAGTGGTCAGTCTGGCCGCCGGGGAGGAGCCCCGGCCTCCGCAAGGGCCGAGCCATCGAGCTCTGGGGCTGCTCCGTCTCAGACCGCTTGACCTTGACGCCTTTCCAGTTTTGTTTTGTGTTTTCAAGTCTCCCGTGGCCTGTGGCGCCCCCGGCCCTGCTCAGAAGCTGGGGCTGCGGCCACACCTGGCCCCGGGGACAGCCTGGCCCGACGCCCACCCACTCTCCGCAGCACCCGCCCCTGCGCCGGCGGCCAAAGGCCGGACTTAGGTACCTGGAGACGGGCGCCTGCCTCCCTGGCTGCCTGGGGTGCCCTGGGGTCGTCTGGCCTAGAAAGTCCAGAGGCCTGAGGGTCCGAGGCCAGAGGAGCTGCGTCAGGAGTGGAGAGGGCAGTGTTTCCATTCGCACCGGCGTGGGGCATTCTGGGAGCCGATTTCAAGAAACTCGTGAAAACAGTGTAGCGCGTTAGCAAGCCTATTTTTTTTTTAAAGATTTATTTTTTTATGCACACAAGAGCTGGGGTACAGGCCAGAGATGTGGGAGGAGAGAGGAGTCACCAGAGACAGAGCGGGGAGCAGAACCGGTGGATCTCCTGAGATGCGCTGCCGAGGGGAGCAGCGGGGAGACGGAGAGGTCTGCTGCGCCGTGTGGGTAGCCCTCTAGCTGGGGATGGAACTGTGCTGCAGAGGCTGCCGACCGCTTCACAGGGCTGAGACTTAACCCCTGCGCCCCACGGAGGCCCCTGGCGAGCATGTTTTTATAAACACTTTTCTCATCTTAAGGGTAGAACTTGCTCATTCCCAACAGCTTGGAAACTCGGGCCTGACGAGTGGCCCAGCGGCGAGGGCGTGTGATTCCCAGGGCTGCTGACGAGCGCACTGCCCGGGGACATTCCTAGAAGAAATCCCGCCTGGCCAAGGGCTACAGCGCCGCTTGCTAAAATGCCTGGAGGCCAGGGCGCGGGCCAGGGCGCGGGGGGGGGGGGGGGGGGGGGGCAGCGTGGTGTCCTGGCCGGGCGAGCGCTGGCCTGCTCTAGCCGCCCTGACCCCACGCCCCCGCCGCAGCCGGTGGGGAGAAGCCGCTCCGGCCGCCTGATTTTGATGTCTTTGGCGGCTGGCGGGGGGGGGTCACCTCCTCATTCTATTACTGGCCATTTGGGAAGTTGCCCGTATGTGCTCGCTCATTTTAATCTTTCTGTTGGGCCGTGGGTCTTGTCCTGGAGCCCTTTGGTGGAGGGGGTCAGCCTCCTGCCCCCCCCGCCCCGCGGTGCCTCGTCCTTGCTGGTTTTTTAAACATTTTTTTCTTTTTCTTTCTTTAAATCTTTTTAAAGTTTTATTTATTTATGCATACAAGAGCTGGGATACAGGCCAGAGGTGTGGGGTGCTCCCCAGAGCCAGAGTGGGGAGCAGAACAGGCAGATGGACTGAAATGCACTCCCGAGGGGACAGCGGGGAGGAGGGGGAGGGCGCCGCGTGGGTAGCTCCCTGGCCGGGCTTGGCACGCAGGCCGCAGTGGCGCCCAGACGCTTACCCCCGCGCCCCCAGGGAGGCCCCGTCTGGGCTGCTTTACTTTCACCTCGGGGTTAGCGTCTCACCCCGTTCCTCTCCGTGCCCGAGTTCCGTGTCCTCACGTGGCCACATCTCTCAGCCTTTCCTTTGCGGTCTCTGGCCCTGGGGTGAGGCCGGGGACAGCTGTGACCCCCTGAGACTTCACGAACGCTGGTGGCTGCGTTGCGGGAGAGGGCGCCGGCAGGCACAGAGGGCGGCGGCGTGACTCGGGGTAACAGAGGGGTTCAGGGAGGAGCGTTTTCTCTCTCTGGGCAGCCTGGACCTTCCGACACGTACACACCCATGCGCATGTGCACACCTGAGTGCACACACGCGTGCACACACACACTTTAACCAGAGGCACGCTTGCCTCCGGGACCTGAGGCTCTTCATCTGCGGAGCCAGGGCGGCGTCGGCCGCAGCCCCGTGCGCTGCAGCTGGCTGTGGGGTCGGTTTCCCCTGCGCGCCTGCTGGCCTGCAGCTGCTGTGGCCCGAGGGCCAGGCTCCTGCACAGACTCGTGTGTCCTGACACGCGGGGCCCCCTCTCCGGGCTTTTCTCGGCGCAGCCCAGGTGGGAGGGCGGAGGGAGAGCCGTGGCCGCCCCCATCCCCGCCGGCCGGACCGGAGAGAGCGGCCGAGCAGCCACTTGAGGCCCGGGGCAGGGCCGGCAGCCCGGCCGTCTCCGCTCCGCTCGGCCCTCCGTGCCCTCTGGGAGGGGAGAGAGGGCAGGGGCCCCACTCGTCACCCCGCAGGCAGGTGCGGGAGTCGAGGTGTGCTGGGCTCCCTGCCCGACGTGCGCGGCGGCCGCTTACTCTGGCGAGCTCTGAGAGGGGGGTTTCCTGCAGGTCTCCGGCAAGAGGAGGCGCAGATCTGCGTTCTGGAGGGCGAGACGCGGGCACGCGTGGCCGGCGGGAGGGAAGAAGCGGCGAGTGGGCAGGCAGCCTTCGCGGCCCTGTGACCCGGCCCTCGGCCCCTTGCTCTTGGCGATTTCCGCTCTGTGAGCCGAGAGCTCGCCCGAGGACGGCCAGTGCTCGGCAAAAATCAACTTCTTTACGCCGGTCCGGGTATTTTTTGTTCCATCGTTTCGTTCTAGTGACACAACCTTCGGTCAAGCTCTGCTGTGCGTGCGAGATAAACACAAGCAGGAAGGTGGCGGAGGTCCCCTCGGGGCTTGGAGCCGGTGCCGGAGGCCGAGGGCCCAGCCGGGCTGGCCAGAGGAGCCAGGTCCCTTCCTCACTCCTGCCTCCCTTTGGAGAGTGAATGGCCCAGTCCACGCGAAGGGAGGCCCCACCCTAAGCGTGGACCATCTCCCTGGGGCATGGGGGTGCAGGCCCCGCCCGCCGTGAGGGTCAGGCCACCGGCCCGGGCATCCATCTCGGAGCTCGCTGGTGCGGCGCACGCTGGGTCTCTGCAGATGCTGTTCTTTGTCCAGCAAGGCCACGTAACCCAGCGACTCCTACCGTGGAAGTCTGGGGTGCAGAAGAACAGGGGTGCAGACCAGTGGGGCAAGCCAGGGCTTGTCCCGGTGCGGGGTGGAAGCCCCGGTCAGCTACCCACATGCCCGTGCGAGGGCGGGCACGGAGAGCCTCGCTCTTGCCGACTTCTTTTAGACAAGAAAAATCCGTGTTTTAAAGCACGAGCGTTTCCTCCGCGTGTGCAAAACTTAACGCAAAGCATCTGATGGCAGCACCTGCGCCTGGAGGCCGTGGCTGCGGCTGTGGCGCCCGCCAGTGCCCGGCTCCAGGAGCCTGGGGATCTGAGCGGGGAGAGCCCCATGGAAAATCCCCCAGGCCGGGCCCATGCCCCAGCCTGGAGGAGTCGGCGCAGCCGACGGGAGCTCTCTGTGCGGCGTCCAGCTCCCCCAGGCAGCAACTGGGCCCGAGCCTCGGCCGGCGGCCCTCACGCGCCCCACGAGCGCGGCTGGCCGCGGCTTGTCCCTGCCGCCCGACTCGCTGCGCGCAGCCGGAGGCTGCAAGGCCCGACTCGTTGAGCAGAAACCGCAGGGTCCGCTTCCTCCTCGGGGCAGAATAATGTTCCGGCCCACACGTAGCTCACGTCACC